TCTCCATATTAGAAACTATAATTCCAAGATATACAAGTACTACAATTTCCATTTAATGTTTAATTACGAACGCTGAAATCACGGTGAAAATAACATGTTTACATCAGCCCGCAAGTGAACAAGAAACGGAGACTTAGCTAATTCCAGCTGGTTACAATGAAGCCTTTTGGTAATATCACATATGATAATTTACAACATGCAGCCACCAGTTATTATTCTGGATAGTGTTTTTGGTGGTGACAGCTTTCTAAATTCTTGGGCACTTTAGTGTAGTCTCTGAACATTTAGGAAAGTGCGTGAGATTTCCGAATAGAAAAGGCCTTGAAGTGACAATATACTATTATGTTCTAGATTCTGTTTGGTTGTAGCTTTTACCGTAATGTCGAGTTTTGTATGTCCAATTTTTTTATCTCTCGCATACCACATAACTTTGTTATTATTATCAAGTTGCGGAGGTAAAACCATTGAAGAAAAGTTTATTTTCGTTTATGTCCAAAAAAGGTAAAATTTTCTTTCTCACTGACAGCATTGTAGAACTAAAACTATTCCTCTTTTACATATATATGTATAATTTTCCATATAAGTAGATATACATGTGCAAATGCACATTTTTGTATATGAATTCAGTAGTTCACATGGAGGTCAGAACCTTCTGCTGCCTTTGGAACTCCGTCTTGCTCGTACAGATAATTTGTAGGACCAGCAGGACAATGAAGCCTCATTCGGAACCTCCTAGGCCTTCATTGCCAACAATACAACCAGCTCGAAAGTAAATATTCACTATTTTATTATACTGGTGTCTTTCTTTTACACGCTACATATGTTTTGTAACTTCTTTAATGCATAGTTAACTTACCTGCAACAAAAACACAAAAATATCCTTTGATAACATCAGTAAAGCGCCAAAAATTTACCTCTCAATATCTTTTTGTTGCGTGCAACTGTCACTGTTTACATATAAATGCTATTGTGATGTCATCTCATCCCACTCGCCTGGCTGTGAAGGTGGGCGAGATGGACTAGATGGGCAACTTGTCTAGGAAGAGAAGGTAGAGTCAAAACATCTTGTTCAATTTGTCCAACTAATTGGACAAGGAATTCTGAACACAACATTATGCTATGTTCGTTACTCCTTGTTCAACAAGATAGAAATTTGGTGGAGGTGGTTTTGCTCTTCACAGTCTCAATTTTGGCTGCAGCACATCACTCTTACACAGTTTTGCATGATTTGTTTACAGACAATGATAACCAGAAAATGGGTGTTATGTAATTTTATGGCATTTTTTGTTGTTATTCAAGGATATTGCAGATGAGTTACATATAAATTAGAGTAAGATTAGGAAATGGATAATGTATATTATAAAAGCATTAGCATAGTAATAATTTTTTATTTTGGTGCTAATTGCATTTTAAGTAATGAAGGCCTTAACAGGATCTGAATATGGCCTCATGTCCCTGGTGATCTGGCCAAGCAAGGCAAGAGAACATCAGGCACTCTCTATTTCAGTTTTATTCAAGAGGATCTTTCTATGCTTATTGATGTGGTACTGGGAGACTTCATTTTCAAGATAGTGACTCCTGATATGCTTTAACCCCTAACTTTGACTAATGCAACTAAAATGCAGCCTCAGCATTTTTAAAGAAAAGAAAGGTAGTCACTTTTCTTATATTCCCATGTGAGCTTGTAAATAATAAATTGAAATCTCCCTCCTAGCTGGTGTTTTGGCTGATGGCATGATGCTGCCCAAGTCTCTTCCAGTATTCTGCATAATTCTTTGATCTAAACACATCTTTGTTTAATTTAAATGATCCTATGACATTGCCGTACAGCATGTCAGCCCTTTTTCTTCTCTCCCCCAAAGTAGGAAGCTATGTTTTCTGTAATATAATTTAGTTTCTCTTAGCATTGGCACCCATCTTGTGGCTGCTTCTTGAACTCTTTCTAATTTATGTATATCCATTTTTTAAGTGAGGGATCCAGTCCACTGCAGCATATTCAAGAGTAAGCTGTATGATGGTAATAATATAAATACTTATATTTCTATATGTTCATTTACATTTATGAATGCTCATTTCAGTTTTGTAAGCAGTGCTAGCATCTCAAACCTTTTCATTTATGTGATCATTTTTAAGTGTTCAGTTACAATTATTTCAAGGTCTTTATCCCTGTCTATTTAGTCTCCAAACTTATTTAGATATTGCAGTGAACTTCTATGTTTCCAGTCTTACCATAAGACATTTATGGGTGATGCCTTCAATTTTACCAATAGAACTCTACAGACCTGTCCCTATGGAGGTTTTAGCATGAAATTTTTATTTACTACCCTTTTATGTACTTTTACAAAATCTTTAGATATATTTTCACACATATCAGCATAAACTCAGCCCCAAATAATTGATGAAAGTAATGAACATAGCCAGTGCCTAAACTGATCTTACAGGAACTCCACTTCTTACATGTGTATGTGTATGTATATGTATATATATAGAGAGAGATAGA